TGTTGGATTTTGATAAAAACTTCACTTTTATTCCAAAATCTACAAAAAATAAATTGCAACTTGTTCCTCACAACATCTACTAGACCAAAATTATTTTCCCATGCATATACTGTTTACTAGTTTAGTGATGGCTTAAATCCACATATGATCTAACAATAACCATCAGGCTCTCACAAATCCATCACTTTGTTCTGACTAAGAAACCCTATAACATACCAAAATAAAGATATGAAGCAAGAATCGAGAAGAAACGAAACCCAATATCAGAAGAAAACACACAAACCAACATCATAAATCAACAAATTTAAAACACAAATCGAGAATCTGATAAAAACTCCAATTCTCCTGGGTTTTCTTCGAACAATATTGCCATGGGAGAGAGAAGAGATTTCGATAGATCATGTATTGCGTTGTGGTGAGAGAAAAATTTAGAAAATTTTTATTTATTTTATTGTTAAATATGAAATCCATCAAAATCAGAAGTGATAGTCACGTATTTGTTTTCCTCATCTTTTAGGCAACAAAATACATTAAAATGCATGCTAAACGAAATTCCCTAAAATCAAGGGTATATTGAATAACAAGAGATTTTGTTGTATTTTCGAATACACTAAACAAATGATTAATTCAATAACACGGGATTCACTCTGAATATAAAATACAATAAAAACACTAATCCAATAACACCTCCTTAGGTTATGCGATGGGCTTATGGATTTCGTGTATGAGCTTGAATAATAGGTTAAGGCTTACATACTAAAACCCTAGGTATTTGGTATATATATAATCTTGTACGTTCCTATCAATTGTGATCAAATTATTATTCTAGGGTTTATGTTCATCGTGCTTTCTATTTTCTCTAAACATTAAAGTCCAGGGTTTGATCCACGCTTATAATATGAGAAGTCGAAAATCCTAGGTGGCGGCCTCAGAACGAGTTTAAGAGTTGGTTTACCGAAAATAGCCTTAAAACACTACATAATTACGCTGACTNCCATGTGATCTATGATGGGCTTCGTATCATTTAGTTTATGCGATGGGCTTATGGATTTCGTGTATGGGNTTCAATAATAGGTNAAGGCTTACATACTAAAACCCTAGGTATTTGG